GGAACGTAGCCACTGTAAAACAGTACCTCCAAGTCCCATCCCAGAGAGACAGTCCAGAAGGATACCAGGGTCAATGGTATCGAAAGCCGCTGAGAGATCCAGCAGAACCAACAGGGACACACTCCCCCTGTTCAGTTCCTTGCGTAAGACATCCACCAAGGTGACCAAGGCTGTCTCTGTTCCATAGCCAGGCCTGAAGCCTGATTGAAATGGATCTAAATAATCTGTTTCATCCAGAAACCCCTAGGAGTTGGGAAGCCACCACACATTCTAAAACCTTGTCCAAAAATGGTAGGTTGGGCACTGGCCAATAGTTATTCATTATTGTGGGATTCAGGGATGGCTTTCTAAACAAAGGCCTCACACCTGCCTCCTTTAGGCAAGATGGAACTCTACCTTGTTGTAGGGAGGCATTGACTACCTCCTTTACCCACTCAGCCAGTCCTACTCTGGCCTGTTCAATAAGGCAAGAAGGACAAGTGTCCAAGACACATGTGGTGGCTTTTATCTCTTCAAGGAACAACAACCCCCACCCCGATTCCCACAAGCCCTGCTACTGATCAGTAAAAATACAATACTGACAAAGAAATAACTGGCAGGCAGCCTAAGTACCCTAAAGGCACTAAATCCCATCAGAAGTTGGAAGCTGAACCACATCTGCCCTGGTTAATACTTGATTGGGGCACAACCAACAAATACCAGGTGTTTTATTGGCAACCTACTGTCTTCTACATGGCAACACACTGTCGTTACCCATACTTTCTGCTTTACATGGTTCCTTGGGATTGGGTGAAGAAGGACCATCTGCAGAGAGTCTTAGCAGCATCTTTGTAAGCGTACTTTTCTCTCCCTTCCAGCCAGGGTCTCAGGAGTGGGAGGATTCAAACAGCCTGAGAGGGAATAAAGAATTAATCTGACCCTCATTGTCCTTGTCTTGCCCCCATCTTGGAAACCCCAGGCAGCATTCTGGGAGCTGGATTTTTTTTTTAAAAAAGTAGCCTTTCCAAGTGATAGAGAAATCTTTCCTGCCTTAGCCAACCCCAACTTACATCTTCAGCCAGCCTGTCTTGACAGATAGTGGTGTTTATGTGCTGTGGCACAGAGGGGAGAGAGACTGCCTGAAGCTCCATAATGGTCTAAGGTTTCATGAAGTA